ATAGTTCGAAAGCCTACTTTAACAATAGAAAAAACGGCTTTTTGTAGCGATTCAGAAAACCGGAAAAATCAGTTATCCGGAATAGCGATCGTCCCGACCATTCCGGATAATCGGTTCCGTACTGTATATACAATAGAGTGGAGCGTTCTTCTATGTTAAAAAAAATTTCTTTTTAATTTTTAGTTGCAATACTAAAAGTAGTTTGACCTTCTCCTATGGGATTTTAAATTGCATAAAAATATATATTTTAAAATTTATCTTCTTCCAGCTCATTTATTTTGAAAATCTATATTTTCTTGTTTATTTCTTTTAATGTAAGTAAAACTAATTGTGTTTTAAATATTTATAATTTTGTAAAACCTGAAAGAAAAACATGTTCATTGAATTTTCAATAAAAAATATAAACATTTCTCTGAATATAATGGAGAGGAAGCAGCCCAGTCTTTTAATTTAAAACCTATTCTAACACGCACTATGTACGGTTGTAGTCAGAATTTTATTCTTTAACTGACTATTGATTCCTTGATTTGGTGGTGTTAAAAATTATTTAAAAAAATAATTAAGAAAAAGAAGAGATAGAAACTTTTCGTGTAATTTCTTAATATTCAAATCAATTGCACTGGTAGATAAACTCGAAATAAATCAAAAATATTTAAGATATACTTTTGAGAGGTTGGGTCAAGTTTTGGTCGTTATTGAAGAAAAAAGTTTCGAAATGTGATTTTACATTCCACCCTAATATACAACATTTAATATGTTATCTGTTGAATTTCGCAATCTTACAAAAAGATATAATTTCTCTAAGTTTTCTCTCTCTCTTTTTCTGCAGTTTGGGACAGTTGATTCACCAAATGTGTGGAAGGTCCGCAATAGTCTATTGGTCTTTTTATATGCAGTAGCAAAACTGCCTTTTTTTGGAAAGATAATTACACGAGAGATATTTTTTTAAATTATATTTTATTTATAACAGTTGAAATGTTTTTTTTTAATAAAGTATACAAACTTATACTTTGTACTGTTTTTTTTTATTTGTTTTTTTTCTTATATTTTTACTCTAGAGCCTTTAGTATTTCACTTTAACTCCTACATTTTAAATTCATTTTTAGGAAAAGAATCTTTCAAAAAATTAGATACTCGTTGGTTTGAACCTAAAGATGGTGAATGGCAGCAGGATTTACCAGCTGAGTGGGAAGGTTAGTTTTATTTGCTTGATTTTTACTTATATACTTTTTAAAGTAACAATGCATTTAAATGGTTTTTCTGTTGGTACATATTTTGAATTGAAAAGATGTTGAGTATCTTGAGTTTTGGAATTATAAAATTAAGCTTTTTCTTAGGTACTAGAAAGAGGTGGTAGTTATTCCAACTCATCTTTGTTTGATTATAAAGTTGCTGGATGGTTAATTATTTTCTTTTATACTGAAGGATTTTATTGGTCAGTTACATTTACATTACTGTTACTTATGAACTTCTTCTTTTAGTGAAATTAAAAATCGGAAACTCTTCTTTGCTGCAGCTGCAGCATCAGATGTAGTACTTGTTGTGTTGTAGCCCTTAAAACAGAGGTATTGGAAGTTCGATGTTGGATTAATTTAAATTGTTCAAGTTCACCACAGAGAGTTCTGCATTCAAAAAGGAAAATCCAAATTAGAAATTATTATTTCTTGATATTGCTATTTTTATTAAAAAAAGATTATCTTGCCTATAATTGTAATTTTCAAATTACGCTTTTAATCAAAGTTTAAAAAAACTGGTCAAGAAAAATTTTAAATTTACTAAATATTATTATATATATCATCTAAAGTATTTTTTCTTATTTATTTAATGCTGCAATACATCAATAAGATTATTGTCAAATTTAAACTCCATCATGTTCAAATAAATGATAAAAAGAAGTAATTATTCTTTGTTTTTTATACCGCTAGAACTAAAACATACTTTTACTATTTTATATCTTTATATTTATGTTGTAAATTTTTCTTTCTTATTTCTTTTCTTAATTCTATGAATTTCAAATATTTTTTTGTAATTGAAAAACTATATAGCCTTGAATATTTCCTCATTTATGTTAAAATTTGTATTGATTCAATAAATAAAAATCAAAGGTTTAATTTGAAACAATTAATTGATATAAATACTAAAAATTTTATACTGCTAAATAAGGGCATTATATAAATAATTCTGAATTACAAACTTTTTTAATATATTCACAATCAAGGAGGTAAACTAATTTTTGCAAACATGTACCATTAAAAAAACAACTATAAAATCTGCAATGAAGAGCAAAAAGTTAAAATTTATGCATTTAAATCTAATTTTTCCCACTCATTTATGAATAACTAAAAAGCAAAAATTTTTATAACAAGCTTTTAGGTGTTAATTTAAAGTATTATAAAGGAATTAAGTAAAGTGTTGGTGCATTTTTCTCCAATAACTCAATAAAAATACAGTTAAAATATTGTTTACACACAATAAGTTTTACTCTACATAATCTTAGAGATTATTCCTACTTTATAAGTTACAAATTTATCTTGCAAATTAAAAAGAATTTATAAAGTTAGAAGCACTGTTTCTAAATAAATATCAGTAAAGATAATGTAAAAAGATTATTTACCTAAATGGTTTTTAAAATTTATCTTTCATTTATTAAAAAAATAAGAAAAATTGTAGCAAGTTATTTAAATAAAAAAATTTGAAAAACAATTTTATAATAAATATATTTTTTAATGTGTATATCACAAAATATATCTTTAAAATATTCTCAAACATTTTATATTAAAACAAGTTACTTTGTTTTTAAATATGTAAACATTAAAATCATATGTAATTTTGCCCTATTCTCCTTTTGAGAATAGAAATTTAAATGAAATAGATTGACTTGCTTGGTCTGCAACAACCACAAAAATTGAATCACATCCAATTCTTGTTGAAAGCAATGCAACAACAATTACTGGTTGTTGCAACAGACGAAGGATGAAAGAAGTGTGCATGCATAACCTAAGCAACACGGTTGCTGTTGCAGTTGATATCTCATCTTTTTCTTTAGACACCAAACCTGCTAAATTTTTTGAACAGTCAATTTATATTTTTACTTTTAAGAACATGTTTTTTGGTGTCATTGCATTAATGTTTCTTTATATATATATATATATATCTTTGCATGTGCTTTTGAGATTAGTTGATTATTAGTTGATAACAAGATTATCATAATTTTTTAGGTTAATTATTGATTTGTGCTGACTTTAATTTTTTATTTTTACTCATTGATTTCAAAATAAAAGTTTTCAATTAGCGAGACGTAATAATTTCTAAATAATCATTGAAATTTGATCTACACATACATTGTTCTGATGCACATTGCAAACTTAGATTTCATGCTGGTAAAGTTGTCTTTGTTTTGATATATATTTAAATATTTTCACTTTCTTAAACTATATTAGAGTGTCTTTCTCATACTATTATTATATAAGTATCTTAAATAATATGACTCATCATTGATTGAATATTTTAAAATTGGAAATTTTTAGGCTTAAAACAGGCCACAATTTCTTATTAGAATATTTATGTAACATAATAATTCTTCCCAGCGAAGCATGCCTTATTTGTGACACAGGTGTATTAAACTCTGATCACCTTCTTTTTGTGCAAGGGACTAGATAGAACTCCCAGAAAAGTGGGAATGTCACTAAATTGTATTGGGACGCAAGAACTCTCATGAATTGTCACTAACTTTACCTTTTTCATGTTAATGTTTAAAATTATATATTGTTGAAATGTTTATTGATTCAAATGTTTATTGTTCTTTTTTGTTCACTTGAATTGTTTCTTTGTTATTTTTCTGCTCCTTTGTGATGCAGTGAGCTGTCAAATTTCCTGGATTGAATTCCTTATAAAGCCATATGAAACACATATTTTAAAAAAAATAGGAGGCATGAATTGAGGAGACATGAATAGAATCACAATTATATATTTCTTCAAATAGAAGTTCTTCAAATATAAAGTTACTTTATTTAATTGAAAAAAAGCAACAGCAAAAATGTTACCTGTGCAATATTTTTAGAAAAAGAAACTCAGCGGCGCGACAGCCCATAGAGGGCCAAGGCCTACTGTGCCCATCTCAGTTTTCTTGACCTTGGGCTCTGGGGTGCATGAGCAGATGTTCCGGTCAGGTGGTCAACCGAACGCGGAACCCCCAGTGTTTAGTTCCCAAGCATGCTTGGTACTCATTTATCGACCCACTGAAGGGATGCAAGGCTGAAATATTTTTAAAACATTGTTGAATTAGAAGTCAGTTTTGTTCAAATTTATTGATATTTCTTATATATTAACATTTCTTAGATTAAGTACTTTTCTGTTCTGATTTAATATTATTATAAAGGATAGAAAATTGTAATTTCCGTAGCTTCATTTAATGTCTGTATTTACTTTTCTCTTCATTTTCATTGACAAATGTTGGTATATATTATTATTAACTGTTTTTAGATGACATTTATGCTCACCTATGAAAGAAAATCCTATTTTTTTAAATTTTGTATTTAAAAATTATATTCGTTTTACTTATTTTATTAAAAACTTAAAGTCAAATATTTCCCTTTAAAATAAACATTAAATAGATTACATACATTGAGTAATTATCCATTTTTATGTTTCTTAAAAATCTTATTTAAGAATTTGAAGAAATATAGTAGTTTTAAAAATAATTTTATTTTGTACTTAAATTTTTTTTAATCTCTTATTTAACATAATACTGTAGCTAACATAATACTAACATAATACTGTATTTAACATAATACTAACATAATACTGTAGCATAGAAAAAGTACTGTATAGTTAAATTAGTTTTATCAAGTAATTGTATTGCATAAAATATGAACACCAAGTGTTTTCCTTTTCTGCTGCAACACAGTTAACAAATAAAATAAATACTTACATATTTAATGAATCCCATTATAGTAAGAAAATAAACGCAAAATATTTTAATATTTTAAAATGTTTACATTTATGATTAAAATGTATTTGAAATTTTATTAATCATTTCTTTATTCTGTAACATCTATTTTGTATCATGCTTTTACTTTTACATCTGCTTATTAATATATATCTGTTCCATAGCTTGGCTTCGTGGTAGACGTAAAGATCCCCCAACAAAGGAAGTAAGTTTTCTTGTATTATAATTATTTAATCAAATGTACTAAATCCAAAGAAATAGAATAATATCACAAGAGATATTAACATGTTTTTAAATTATGATGTGTAGTTAAGAGCAAATGTTCCTTTCAAGAGTGATACAGAAATACTTGTAAAGCAAGCTATGCATTACTTTGCAATTTTAATGTTCTTACTACAGTAAATTTTGGATACTGTATATATATTTTCTGAATAGTAGATAGTATTGCAAAATATAAAAATTTTTCAACATTTGGAAAATCTTATTCAGTTGTTTTTGTTCTTATTTCCTTGACTGTTATATGTTATCCTAATGTGTTATGATTTTCTAAAATTTACTATGCTTTAAAATACGGATTAAGCCCCACCCAAATTTTGACTTAAGGGGGTGGGTGATGAAGGTAGCCAGGAAAAATGCACATTTTTAAGAAAATGGAACATATTTAATGAAGTGAAAATTTTGCTGGATTTAATTAAGAATGAAACAAATTAAAATTAAATTAAATAATTAAAATAAATTGTATTTTAAAGAACTTATCTTTCACCCTTACTCTTCTTTTTCAAATTATTATGATTGAATCATCAAAAGCAATTAGTGAGAATAATTTTTTTTTTTTATAAAGAATGAACACAAGGAATGAAAGATTTAATTTGAATATATTATTCTGCAACCATTTCTAATCATAAAAGGGTTTCAAATGATACAACTGAGTCATCATCACAAATGAGGTTTGACATTCTTCATTAATATTAGTTGTTTTTGCCAATGATATATTGATTTCAATTAAGCAAGAATGGAGGAATTCATCTTTGCTTCCTTCAAATTTATTTGAAATAGCTTATTTCTTAAATGTATTGGAAATGGTTTCATCTGAAATCACCTTCCACGCTGCCAAAACAAAACTTATCACATCATGACAAGATGACCTTTTCTCAGCCAGGGGGTTCTTTGTTTTTATTGAATAAATGTGCACTATAACCCTTCTCAATGCACTTTTGAATGGTGACATACAGGACATATCAGCAGGTTGAATAAAGCCTGCATAACCTGCTGTGAGGATGATTTTGTTCATGTCTAGATTTTTTATCCTTTTTGAAATAAGTGGCCACTTTGTCTTAAACAAGCAATCTTGGTAGCCGTCTTGATAGCCGTCCCAAATCTTGTCTAATCAAGAGCCCATCAATGTACTTGTCAACTATCCATAGGTGGAGCAGATAATTTAAATGTTTGATGGTTTCTTAAATTCTGACGTACACTGTATAGGGTGTGGCTGGTCGGTTTCTTAATGATAACAAATATGGTGAATTGATCGCTAGATGTCATCGCCGATAGCGCCACCATATATTCCCTATTCTTACATCCCGTGTTACAATTTATTATTGTATAATTTTCCACCACAATGTTGGTTTGTAAATTTGGTTATTTGAACTGTACCCATTGTTTGGCTAATTTTTTCAATATTAAAATTTGCAAAGTCATTTTTTTAAATGCAAAAATTTCACAGCTTGAAGAAACCCATTTGCAGCATCAATATTGTGGGAAAGCAGTTTCTTGCCCTCCGTACCTGTTCTCATGAAAATTTTAAATCTTCTTTTCTTTTGTTTCATGTGCATAGAAAAAGCTTTAAAATCATTCGGGCCAAGAGAAGTTGCAATTTTCTATGCTTCTTCATCTAGATTCTATGCACTTCTATTTGAAACAGAAACGTGATTTCGACTCTTTTTTTTTCTTAAAATTAATTTAGCCTATTATCCAACTCTTTTGATACCAATTTCCTGCCATTTGTCAATTTCCTTGATTTTTTTTTATCTGAATGGTTATTTGCCATTAATATTTCTTTGTTATTGATCCAATATCTGATGCATTTTCTGGCGATATTAAAATATTTTCAGGATGCTTCCATTATCCCTATGCCATTTGACAATTTCAACTTTATTTGCTACTGTGTAAAAATTTATTTTGGGCATCTTGGCTCAAAAATTGGTATCAGAACAGACTGAGTAAAGATTTAAGACTGAGACTGATTTTCATATTGCTGTGAGCATGTAATAGTAGATCAAGTGTAAAGATATTTTTCTTCTTAGATCAGGGACAATTCTAAGAAGAAAGCAATTGGTTTCAAATTCTAAACCCCTTTCCATTGCTGAAATTTCTCTTCCACATGCTAACCTCCATATTCAAGACATCCGAGTAGAGGCGTGGGATGTCACAGGAGGAATGTAAACAAGTTTTTTTTTACCTTGATTCACCTAACTTGCTTAGAGCGTCGACAGGCTTTGTCAGGTGAAGTGAAACAGGTAGTGAAGTGAAACTTTATTTCGGTTCTCCATCTGGTTTAGTTTTGACCATTACCTTGAGGCAGCTATTCAGTAGGAGTTACGGAAAGTTTTTATTTTATTTCTATCCTTTTGTACCCTATATAAATAGAAACACTTAACAGAGTTGAGATATTAGGAAAGCATTAGAGGATGGTAGTTTATTTGGTTTTGATCGCTGGTCAATATATGAAACTATGGGTGGGGACTTGTTTGATTTTTTACGGTATTAAACAAAAGAGAATGGTTTAAGAATGCACATAAGAAAATCTTTATTCACTTTAATGTAAATTTATTCATGATATAGTTTCAGAAAATATTTAAAACAATGATTTTTTTTTGTTTTAAAATAACTATAGTAATAATAACAAATTGTTCTTTGTGATACATGTTTTTTTTTATCTCTTGACTAATGGAATCGGATGATAGGGCTCTACATTCCCTAACCAAATTATTAGACACACTGTACGATTCGATGTAAAATCTTAATTATCAGGTGATACTATACAGCTTTATTGTCTTTACACGACTGAAATTGGTTGCACTTGTTTACGTCCATGTATCAATTGGTTAAATAAGACGATATATAATATAAATTCAATTATTGGAAAAATTAGACGATATATTATATAACTATAGAATATTTATTACATTAGGTATTTTATTACTAGATTATAATAATTAGATCAAATTATTAGACGAACTGTAGTTTTTTAATAATTACATGTTTTGCACGAGTTTATATGCAATACTTTTATATTTAAACATACATGTAACGGGTTTTTATTCAGGAGATTTTTTTATATAATTCCTATTTGTATTTATTTTTAACGTATTGCATTACGATGTTAACCAATTGATACATGAATGTAAGCAAGTGCAAACTGCTTTCAGCCGAGTAAAAGCAATAAAGCTGTATAGTATCACCTGATAATTAAGATTTTACATAGAATCTTATAGTGCATCTAATAATTTGACCAGAGACTGTATACTGTTCTACTTTGAAAGTAGTTATTTATTTTAATAATTTTATTTAAAGGTTTAATGTTTGCATATTTAGAAAACATATCTAACTCTTAACTAATTGTATATCTTCTTTATTTTCTTATAATTATGATTTTCCCCATGACTGTTGGATTTTCAAAAATGTACTGTATGTTTAGTCAGAGCCACACAAGGTGAAGAAATAACAGGAATTTCAAAGAGAACAACTTATTTCAGACACTGGGTTAAATAAAAATTATACATTTTAAATTTGGTTTGTAAATCTTGGCGAACTTTGATTTGTGATAACAGTTACTTTAAGACTGTCAGCAACTATTAAGACTGTTGTCTTGTAATGTTAAATTGTAAGAAAGCTGGAAAAAAAATCTAATTGCATAAATTGCAGAATATTACTTCATAAGAATCTGTTACTTGCAAAGGCTTTGATATGCATTATTTTATTGATCAATGATACATATTGATCAAAACACTAGTTTTTGAGCTAATAATACCACAGCGTGACAAGAAATGACATATATACCTATAATATATTTTTCAAATAAACATCAAAACATTATCACCTGTTGTTTATTAACAAAAATGACCACTTTTAGCTTCAATTCAGGGCTGTAAACATGATAAAAAAAATTTCCTACAGGCTATAACTCCTCTACTGATATTTTGTTACATTCCTTCTACAAAGATTTTTTTATGACAAATGTATGTCAAAGTCTTATGAGGTTTAGCAAGACCCTTGTCTTTAAGATGGATCAAATGGAAAATCTATTGTATTCAAGCCTGGCGAACAAGGGGCTATTCTTGTGTTGTATAAAATTCCAGAAAATGTGCCTTGAACCTTTTAGTTGTATGCTGCAGCCGTATACCACTTCCATACAGGTGTTTATATTGATATTTAGATTAATACTTGTTATAAAGAATTTAAAACTTTGGTGGTAGAGGAAAGTATATCATTTTTAACTTTGTCACAGTACAAATTATGAGTTCAATTAAAAATATAGCTTTTAAACTTAAACTGTCTGTAAATATAACACAGTTTTATTATCATTTTCACTTTCATCGTTGAAAAAACAAAACATGTAAAGGGAAAAAATCTTAAAAATTTTGTCGTGAAAATTTGTACACAAAAAGAAAATAACCAGCAAATTATTTTGAAATATTAAATAGTTTCCACATTTTATCCTATATTTATTTATTTGTTCATCATTAAACATAATAATTATATTCAGTATTTTTTCTTTTACTCTATATGATGATTTATTACAAAAAATAGTATGATTTTAATTTTATTTACATTATGATAGTATGATTATAATTTAAATTTTAATTACAAAAAATAAGTATGATTGACTTCCTTATTTTATTTTCCCTCAAAATTTAGGAAATTCAAATGAATTTAGCTGTAGCAAATATGAAAAAAGAAAATGCAAAGAAAAATGCAGGAGATGTAAGCTTTTACATTATTTCTTTCTGATATTGATTTATTGAATATTTTTAATTTTTTTGTTTTTAATGACAAGCAAGGCTTTAATTTTTTAAAGCGTTTTTCATTGTTTTATTTCAATAAGCAAATTTTTTGAAAATAAATTTAGAAAAAATTATACAGCCTTTTTTTTTTTTTGTAACAGCAAATAATTAAATATGAAATTAATGTATAACTTTTTTTATGATATTATATGACTGAAACAAAATATTTTATGAAGAATAAACTATGATTTTTCAACAAATTTAATTACAAACTTTTAGGACATGAAAATTTAAGCATTCTTTTCTAATGAATACTTTCTTACTGAAGAATACTTTAAATACTTTTTTAAAAATAATCATTTTTTATTATAGAATAAATTCCACTTGCATTTACATAAAAATAAGTTTTAAACATAGATTTAGATTGTAAATATATATCATTCATCTTGAGCATCCACACATCAGTGCATGCCACTGGCAAAAGCATAATGGATAGTCTAAAAAGATAAAGCTTATTTGGAATGACTAATTTTATTTTCGATTTTCAAAATGAAAGAATCTATATTTTGTCACTGAGAAATAATTGTATGTTATAAAATTTCATTAAGTTCAATATATAAATAGACTATGGTTCCATCTACCCAATAAAGTGTAATAACTTATTTTTATGCATAATGATTTAATTTAGTTTCACAGAATTCACTATCTTAATTTTTATAACAGATGTTTCTTGAAAAAAGTGTGTAATTGAAATTATTGTGATTGAAGCATTTTGATAAAAATTTTTATTAGCCAATTATGTGTCATTTTGAACAATTAGTAGCCATTTTCATGATATATTATAAGAAAGTGATTAAAATATTTCAAATTAGAGACCCTTAATTATTAATTATAATTTAATTAGTAACTATTAAATTGGTAACTATTTTTTTTAAAATTCCAATTTTACAAGCTTTACGTTTACACACCAGAAATGAATATCAAGCCATTTAAATATCTTGATATTTTGCTGCTCTGTAAGTAATTCAACTCACTATTGGTCTGAAAGGTGAAATGTGTGAAGAATTTTTAAAATGGTTTCTATGGGGTATTTTGTGTTAGTTAACAGTTAACATGGAGAAGCTCCAATGATCAACTATGACCTTGCAACATTAAGGCTAGCTCTGCTAAACTGTGACTGGAAGCTCAATGTTAATAAATATTGGTAGGTTCTTTAAGCTTAAGGATAAATGCAAGGTATTAAAGCTCCTTATATAATTAATTTTCTGGTGTAAATAAGTATGTATAAAATAGGTGTAAATAAGTATGTATAAAATAAAATATAAATTTCCTTTAGTTATAAATGTTTCTTCCTTGTATTTTAGAAGGAATTGGATTCAAAACCAAGTGTTTACTCTTCTGAAGGAGGTTTGTATTGTGATGTCACAAATGGCATTACTTATTTATTTCCTACCTTTTAAAATATCTTTAATTAATTAATCTTATTTTATTAATCAAATTATATTTAAAATAAATCAAAGACTTAATCTTTTAAAGTGAACATAAAATATTTTATTCTTTTCTTATCGATCAATGTACGGATACTTTTTATTTCAATACTAATGCAGACTCATTAATTCACTGTCGCGCCTAATCAAAAACAAAAATCTATTTATAACTTTTTGATTCTTAAATTTCTAACCGCAAATATGTTTCAGTTGCATGGTTGTAATAATTCCCATAAATTTGTTGGCGACTTGTGATTGCCAGGGTATTTTTTTAAACCTAATATTGATATGCGGGGTTGACTTTGTTTTGGCTGTGTTATATTTTAATAAATCGTCAACTTTGGATCTCCTACCCATGCTTCCCCTATGTCCGTTCGTAGCGTGGCCACTCACCTGGAAATATCAGGGAATTTTTTTATACTGGAAAAAACCTGGAAAAGTCAGGGAAATTTTAAAGAAAAGCTGGAATTTTTTTCTTAACTTGAATTATTTTACCATCCGTTATATCCACTTTATTTAGACTGAAATTTATCGTCAAGCAGTTGAAATAGCATCAACTTAGTAATACTTTGCTTGCATTAAAATTCTTTTCATTATTACCCTGCTAAACTGGAATGACATATGAAACTCTTCCATGTTGCTAAATGAATGGCGAAATCTTTGACCTCTTTGGAGATTATAGGACTAATCAGTTTAGGAAAGGCAAAAATTATAATAGAGGTGGAAGAAGAGTTTATGATATTTGCTCCATTGGCTGAATTTATTTACTGTTCAAGTTTGTTCCAATTCTTTGGGGGTATTTTTTTCTTTTACAAAATGTTTTAGTGTTTTTAACTTTCCAAAAAATAATTGGTTCTAGTTTAATAATAGATTTTATCTTGCACCCTTTTTCTGTAAGCTTTCATCCAATGAATTATTTTTTTCTCGGTAAAATTGTTTTTGCGTCAGACACCACTGAGTTTCTTTTTATTACATTTGTTTTTATTTATTTCCATCTCTTATTTTGCTTTTTCTTTATGAAATGAAATATGAATGGAAACCATCTAAATATTCCTTTAGGTTAATTTTCAATAATGTATTTCACTTCAGTAACCTATACAATTTGTTTAACTATGTTGTACTTTAGGTTATTTATATTATAACTTAAAATTGATCAATGAAGTTTTTATATATATTTTATTTTAATTTTATTTTGTTTATTTATTTGTGGTAAGCAACTCAGTTTTAATTTTTTGAGAAACAATTTAACTTCATTTAGAACATTTTAAATCAATCTTTTTGCTTAGAGCTTGAAAAATGTATGTATTTAGAGGGGAAAAAATTCAGAACATTCTGTAGTTATTATTTTTTTTTTGTAAAGAAATCTTTTTTAAAAAAATAATAAGCCTACTTGCATAGCAAACTACATTAATAACATGCATCATATTATTAGGTAAATGGGATACAAATTTTTAGTAGTTATTGGGCCTGTGATTGGCAAATGAAACTGGAGAGAGGGTATTAAAAAGAGATAAAAATTTATTCTAGAATTCATATAAATTTTTTTTCTTCATAAATTTGTCTCATCTCTGATGCTACGACCAGGGACATATGCTCTTTCTCATTCACTGTTAGCTATGCCACCAAATGCAAGTAAAAGGTACATCTGTTAATATTGTCTGCTTTAAAACATCAAATATAATCAATTGTAAGAACTGTACAAAAGGATCATTTAATTTTATGCAGGCAATAAATAAAGCTATTATTTTTCCTGTATAATCTTTTTTTACCAGAAAAAATTGTTATGGACTAATAATACAGTAAAAAATTGTTTTTTTTCTTTCTTTTTTAATGTACAGTAACATCTTTATAGATTTTTTTTATTGTATATCAAAATAATGCAAGTTCTTGGCATTTTTTCCATATTTCTTTATTTAAAGAAAAAGAAAAAAATTCAGCTACAGTTTTATTCCAGGATTTTTAAAATTATTAAATTTAAAGAAATATTTCTTAAATATGAGTTTTATCTATATTGTTTATCTACCTTGCACAGTTAAAATTAAAATTAGAGATTTTTCAACTAACTTTTACAAAATGGAAAATTGTATAAAACACATTGACCCACCCATTCCAATAGGAAATGGAAGGCAATTTAAATTTTTTTTGGGATCACTGTATTTGCTATTTGGTACATTTTGTTCAAAAACTACAAAACTAACACTAAAAACATTTTTTATTCATTAAATGTAATATATTCTTCTAGATAAACATATTTTCTTCACATCTATTCAGGATGATATATTAAAAAAATAACATTTTTAATTTAAAATACTAAAAAATATTGACACTTTTCTTGTACCCACCTGCACTTTGTGTGAAAAGAAAATGCACTGACCTGGAAATTTTGAAATTTTTGCTGGAAAACCTGGAAAAATGAGGGAAATTTGAAACCTGATTTGAGTGACCACCCTGGTTGGGAACGATTGCATTCACTTTTAATTTCAAATTTGTGGCAACTAGAAGTGCCCTTTGGGCACTCCAGTCCCAGCCATCCTTACCTTTTTAAAAAATGTAATTGTAATAAAAATGCTAACTGACTTCTCAATATCGAAGAGTGTGTTTTCTTGATCCCTTTAGGGGATTTACTTTGATGATTTGTAATGTTATATAATGGCCATTGTTACTAATCTTTGCGAATTATAGCTTAATAAGTCAAGTTTTTACTTAACGATTTTTATTGATTCCTGGAGACGATCATTTTGTTTCATCCATCTATTAACGGCCAAAAAGAACAATAATGAAGATATTTTTCCACTATACTTAATAAGAATGGTGACCACCACCATCGTCACCAAATTTACATTCTCCTGTCTAGCATATTGTGTACAGTCAGAGGGAATGGGCCATTTGTGCATTCTACTTGTTAAAAAGTTTAAATCTTCTTCACTGGCATTTGCAAAAACCTCAAATGTTGGAGCTTATGTAAAAGTATAAAACTGCTTCAATCTACTTTATAAGAACTTTTGTTTTTAAATAAGAGGTTCTGGAATAGTTTTTTCCACAGTTAATTGAAATTTTGAAATTATTAACTATGAGAGAAAAGAATGATTCAGATTTTAAAAATAATAGTCACAGTCATTTTATGAGTCATAGAATAGAATAAGCAGCAATTTAAGTATTTACCATACTCCAAAATCTTAGAAGCTACACATCGTTTTATATTATTTTGTTAAACAGGTAAATTTTTATTTTATATGTTTCCCTTTCTTATTTATTTTTACATCACTCTCACTGTCTTTTTTACCCTAAATTGTGTAGGACTGATTAAGTCTTTTAGATAGCTGCTTTTGCTTCTTGTGTTGTTATTTTTTTTATTCAATCCAATTAGCCTTTTAATAAATCTATTTTTCTAAGTCAAAATTTTTTTTCTAACAATCAATATGCTGTAGAATTTTCAATCTTATAATTTTTCTTTCCATTTTTAGGTTTTCCTAGAAGAAATGATTATGAAAGAGAACCTGGAAAACAGGATCAACCACGTTAGATTATTACTACTTTACAGTGGTTTATGTTTTTTGAATAAATAAGTTGTAGAAAGCAAATGAAAGAAAAATTATTTTATCAGAACTTATATTAAACTGAAAACTTAGTACTTTTTCCAAGCTCATTTCGCATTTTTAAATTCCAAACTAAAGGATATAGTCTTTTCTTTTAAGAAAAAAGAAAAATGAATATTATTTATCTCTTATAGCTCTTTTCATTAAAATTTCTGATCTGTGTATTTATTCAGAATGAAAAGTTTTTGTTTATGGAAATGTTAATTACCTGATTTTTCAAAATGTTATATGGCATTACACATAAAAGCTAAGTTTCTTTAGAATGTTTAATTAATTATACATTGAAAATATATTAAATGTCTTTTGGTAAAAATAGTTTATTTAATTTAAAATATTCATTACTGTTTTGAAAGTCTTTAATAATTTTTATGCTTGATTATTAAGAATTTTCTTCCTATTTTTTTTTTATTATCATGTTTGAAGAATTTTTTATAATTTTTTTTTACAAAAGCTTTTTTTAAATGGTTAAATATTTTTTAAATTATTTAAGACAAATACAATTATTTTTAAAGAAAACTAAAAAATGACAAATTAAAAAAAAACATAATATATAAAGTTGTACAAGAACAACATTTTCATAAACTAGACAAAAATTACATTTAAACAAAGATTGCTTTAATTTTTGAATATAAAAATTTGTCAGTTTTTCATCTGAATTAGAATTTCTTAATATTGTCTAAACATAAGCAAAAATGCTTCACCATATGTGCATTTTTCATTGCTTTCATTTAAAAATAATGGTTGTTTACATCGAAGCTTTCATATTTGGCATGATTTGTGAAAAATAGAAAAATAAAGTTATTTTCAAACATTTTTGCATTAATAATTTTGGATTTGATTTTTATTTATTAGTGTGTTTTATTTATTAGTATGTTAATTGTTCAGAAAATGTATTAAAAAATCAGTCAATTGTAAAAAACTTTAAAAAAAAATGAACAAAGTTTTATTACTTATAAGCTTTATCAGTTTGTTTTTTTCAATTTAAAAGTAAAAAAAGTTCAAGTCTGTCAATAAATAATCGATAATGTTAAAAGCTCATATTAAACTGTTAATTCTACAATAGTTTTGGTGTGGTTAAAAATTGGGTTTGAAAGAAAAAGTTTTGCCAATTTATTTTAAAGTGTATTTCTTATTCTGTGCTGAAGTGAGTTTTATTGCATTTCATTTATAAATCAAAAGGAATATAACTACAATGTTCATTATTCTCAGCCCCAATGACTATTTTGTAGTAAAAGAGCTGTAATGTTTATGCGGACAAGCCATAAAAATTTGACAGTTTTCTTTCTTTTACTTTGAAAACACTCACCTCCTGTAATACTACATGCCATTTTTTCAGTCTAGTCTGCACTTTTGTTTGCATACTGGTCTGTACAACATTATGCCACATTTAATAGTCCAAGTATAATAATTTTCTTGTGCGCTAGTCATTGAACACAGCTTTAATTTTCCAGCATTTTATGTTGCAAACGAGAATGTACTGCAAGTTTGCTGTGAATCACATTTCTATTTTGATGTCATTACAATATCCATAGCTAAAGGCATTATGAGTAAGGTCGTATGCTGACAAAGCTTAATGATACTGCAACATATGTGGGTATAGATCCCATCTTTAGTAATAAAAGAATCTTTACAATGAAAGATTACATTAGACATCGATCTTAAAACATAGATGTCTTGGTGGTTAAAGATGAGTATTTTTTTTTTTTTACTTTTTAGTCTTTTGGCTTGCCTTTTTTTAAGGACTTACAGGAGAAAACATTTATCAATTCAAACTATATACATAATACATTGAAAAAGGATTGGAAATTATAAAACATCAATTAAAAAACAAAATTGCATGTATGCAAAGGTACAATATATTCTAACTATGAAAATTAATGAGATAAACAGAATTCTATTCAATTATGAGTACACTGTGCTAAGAATATTCTCAAAATAATGTTTCAAGAACATTTAATAGAAGCACAAGATAACAAGTGACAGTGTAATATCAAAATCTTGAGATGTAATTACAGTAAGTTGTAACCTTTTGCTTAACATGGTGTAGCCTGCCTTTCTGGTACATTTGTTGTGCTGGCTGTACACAAAAGGTTAAGATGAAGAAAATCAAAATAATATCTAACATTAATTACAAAATAATGAATAACATTAATTAAATAGTTAAATCAATCGGTATATATTTTGCTTTTTTTCAACATTTATGCTGTGAAAAGGGCTATGATTTTTATTTGATTTCAAAACGGAAAGATTTAAAAGATGATATAAAAGGATCTTTAGAGGGTTAACCTTGTTTTTAATATAGGTTGGTACTTTTTATTACATAGAGCAAAACTCACACTCACAAACACATTATCTGGTCAAAAGTATTCGAAAACTTATACGTATGGACTTGGAGAGTCTCGAGGCATACATTAGTATTATGTTGATCTCCCATAAGCATCATTACCAGATTGCACAAGTTTAGAAAGACTCCACTAGTTTTTGATTAGCAACTATAGGAATTAGTTTCCAGGTATCTATCACAGCTATAGTGAATGATGGCTGTGAAGATGGTCAATTTAACTGGCTACGTCATTTGTGTTCGGATTCATCCCAAAGGTGCTTTATGGGATTTAATTCGAGGATTCTATGGGATCAGAAAAAATCTGTTCAGCAAATCTTGATGTGTGAATGGAGCAGTTATCCAGTTGAAAGAGACATGGATCTTATAAGAAATATTGTTGGATAATATTGTATTGAATACATAGTTAACTTCAAAAGAGTGCTGTGTGAATTTAAATAAAAATATATTTGCATAAAATTATATTAAAATACATTAAAATAAAAATACATATCTATTGAAATAAAAATATATTGAAATAAAAATATATTGAAATAAAAATATATTAAAATAAAAGCATATTAAAATAAGTAATGTATTGGAGAAATTAATTTTTGTAAATTTTTGAATGTTAGATTGTGAGTTATTTAAAGTGTTTAGAATTGTTAAAGAATTTGTGAAAAACTAAAAGTTTATTAGAAATCACTCATTTTTAATTTTTTCTAAAAACAAACAAACGGAGATTTAAAACTAGATTAATATCAATAGCTTTTTTTCAATTGAAAGTAACCAGGCCAGAGGTCACTAGTTTATAGGGTGGACTAGGATACGTCTCAGTGATCCATTCCATTCCTGGATAGCCTATGATTGGCCCATCTTGAGTCTTCCAACTATCCGCGATCTTGTGGCATCATCTGGACGATAATGACTGATCATACTAACGATGGTTACGAAAAATTTAAAAAACAAGGATCAGTCTAAGCTACGATGTCTTAAAATGTTTTTACGCAACAAGCTTCGGCGAACAAATGAGGTATCTCTACACCTTGGCCAAAGGATACTCTGAGAAGGCTTTTCCATTTCCCGTCTAACCTTCAGTAAGAGTTCGTCCGGAATAGGGACGAAATATATAGCACCTCCAAAACCCGTTCCACTGTCTCCCCTACATTTTTGGTGGGGATGCGTGTACTTCCTGGGATGTTAAGTAATCCGAAACTAATCGACTAACCACTCTCACAGAAAAAGGGGGAATTGCAACCTGCGGGGGTCAACTAGCTTTCGATATCAGAAGAGACTCACTCTACATTATGCTTTTTCTCCTTCTAAGAAAAACTTAAAAAATATTTTTTTTTAAACTCTAAAACGGCTTTATTTATTTTCAAAATGGTTTTATCATTTTATTTAACATGCACTTTTTCTAATTACAGCTTGAATTGTTTATTATTTTGATTTGATTATTTAGAGAACTAATAATAACCAGAGTATTTAAATTTATAAAATTTTACTATGTAGTCATATGAAAGTAATTCATATAAAGTAACTACATTAAAAATAAATTTATATTTTCTCTATAGATCAAATAAAGTTTGTTAATTTTTTTAAAATTGATTTGCTAATTTTTAAAACTTTTTATGTTAAAGTAAAACCTTGAGTTCAAGATTTTATTTTTTTATTACGTATTTAATTTTCTTCTTTCAATTACAATTCAAATACAAATATTTTTCACAATCTTTTTTTAATTTTAATTAATTTTTTTTAAAGATTGTTACACCGTTTTGAAACTAATTAAATTCTACCACTTTAAAAAACTATGTTGACATTTAATCCATTGTTTAAGCAAATATGGTTGCTTACTGTGTAAATTCGATTTAGACTTAAATATTTGAATTTCACAATTTGAATGCACTAAATTAACCTTCACTAGAAACTAACTTCATTTTAATTATTACTTTTGCTAACTACATTTATTATTGTATAAATAACTCCGAATTGGAATTATGATTCGATCTTAAAAGATAAACACCGGAGATATTTGTTATTTGTCACAAATTTAAACATCAAAATTAAAAATTATTCGATTTACTGATCACAAAATTTTAAATCATATTAAGACAGATCTAGTTTCCGATTATATCACTTAACTTATTCTAATAACTAATAACTTAGCTTGGATACATTAAAAACTTCACCCACAAACTCATATTCATCATTTTTACTTACATTATTTCTACTTAATTATAGTTACTTTAAAAACTTATTGCCAAAGATATTATTTAACAATAACGCAAGAAAAAAAAAAATCCTTATTGATCTAAAGCAGTTGTTTAGTATAAATTTATTAAACTGCATATTTTGAGAGCGCAGTTTTATATGAAGTTTATTTTAAGGGAGTAAAGGAAAATATAACTTATTTATTAAAAAGCGAATATATTTTATTTATCAGCTTTTGGTTGTTAAACGGTATTTATATTTTATCAAATAATTTTTATCAAGTAATATCTTGTGATTACTTTATATAATAAAGAAACTTCATTTTTAATTTTAAGCCTTTAACTTAAAATTATTATTACCATAATAATAATAACAAAGAATAATGGTAAAAGTGGGTAATAAACGCATTTTATGTGTAAATGCCGTAAATAAAGAGACAAATAAATAACTTACAAAAGTATAACTTATTTCTAAGAAGTTCCTTAAAAATTATCTTTGATAAGCTTTATAATTTTCTAAACGTAGAAGTAAAATTATAAGAAAATTGATGTAACTCTTTCATTTCAGTTTTGAGGGTTCATAAAAAATACCATCATTTCTGTCGTAAAAATAAATTATAAAATTTTCGACTAATAAGCTGACGTGACAGTTTAAATTTATTTTTCTAATAGATCATTTCGATGGATCAATTAAAAGCAACAAAATAAAACAATTCTATGTTACATTTTAATATATAGATTTGTGAAGCTGCTCACTGTAATTAATATAAATATTTATCAAAACAATCGAAATTAATTTATAAAAAAGTACGATACCGAAATTTTTGAAAGAAAAGGCATTTATTGATTTTCATTAAAACTTACAACATAACAACAGATTGAGACAAGTTTACTTTACAAAATTTTATCAAATACAAAAAATTATCTTTATCTAAGAGATATATTCATATAGATGGTATGCTAGCTAACCCTGGGAGGTTTTCGTGTTTTTCCTCTCCATGTAATGCTAATGCAGGCTAGTTTTCTTATATTTTAATTAACTATAACTACACTATTTAAAGTTTGCAGTGCAGAAATTTCTACTCTCCATGAATGGCAAAGGAGGGTCAGGGAAGAGAAATTAAAATAACACATTGATTATATACTTCTTTCTATCAATATAAAAGAGCGAAAAATTGTGAATAAAAATTACATTACACACTTTTAATATGAATTCGAAAAATTTCTCGCTATTAAATACATAAGGTATTGCATAATTACTACTCTTAATATATATTTTTA